GGACGAAAGGTCTATACCTTACGGAGGAGGGCATGTCTGTAATATGGATCAAATTGTCTGTAATACGGACAATTTTATCCATATTATGGATAATTTGTGATCCATAATATGTTAGCACAAAATTCTCCATAACATACGGATAGCACATCCATAGGGAAATGAGAGTGTGAGTATAAAGTGTTCAATTACATGTCAGGGCCCGGCGCCTTCCCCCTCATCATGTTGAACGCGGTTGAACGTACTGCAACACTGCAAACCTCTAACCGCCACCAGCCCGGGTCGGCATGCTGCACGACCAGAATGCTGCACTTGCAGTACACAGCACCGCAATACCAGGAACCCACCGGGGCCGTCCGAGCTCGGTCCGAGCACCGAGAACACTGCCAGCTTGTTGTGTTTGTGGACGGGGAGGAGGGGGAGCGCCTGCGCGTCTCTAAGAGGCTTGTCCTGCTCCAGGACGGACTGTTTCTTATCATTATATATGCCGTCCGTCCGAGGTTGAAGGCACACGGGGGAGGGGAACCAAGGACCAACCAGGGGGATCAACCGGGGTGATCAACCAGGGGGGGCATCCGGGGACCAAGGACCAACCAGGGGTATCAACCGGGGGGACCAACCAGGGGGACCAACCAGGGGGACCAACCAGGGGACCGAGCGGAGGGACCGTCCGGGAGACCAGCCGGAGGACCAACCGGAGGACCATCCAGAGGACCTGTCGGCAGACCAACCGGTGGACCAACCAGTGTACCATCCGGGGATCATCGGGGAGACCGAGTCGGAGACCACACCGCACGGCTCACCGCGTGGAAAAACAAACTTATTCCGAGCCGCACTACAGTGGTGGTCGGTGCATGGTGCATCGCATGGTGCATCGCATGGTGCATCGCATGGTGCATCGCATGTAGCTGTGCCGGGCTGGACCCACGGCGGTGGCGCGCTGCAGTCGGCGGCCGCGGGGCGGGGGGCGGGGTAAGGGCGTTCCAGGGAATAAAAACAAACGAAAGGTATATATAATGCTGTGCCAGCTCCAAGGGAGCAAGGGCCCTTCGTCTTCGTGATGAGGACGAGGTAAAGGTAAGAGGAGGTGGGGGGCAGGGAGCGGGGAGAAGGAATGTGCCTTCGGCCAGCAGCGTGGAGGGGAAGAGGGGGGAAAGGGGGGAGGTCCACTGGCGCGCCGGACCTCCCCGAGCAAGCGAGTCGTAAGGGCAGAGCTGCCGAGACAGGAATCACTGCAGGCAGACCAGAGATAGAGAAGGGGCAGGGGGGCTTTAGGGCGGTGCTGGCCGATCAAAGAAAATTATTGATGATGCATCCACTGTTATTGCGGGATAGGAGCAAGGGAGTTACGGTTGAGACGTGCACAGGTTAGATGGATAGAGGGTAGCGAGCGAGTCACTCGGTTTGTTTGTCAATGTCCTCAGCAGGCCGTGGTCCCGGCGATGCATCATCACGTGTACATACAGATGTTACGACGTCATTTTCGTAGGGTGCGGTGTATTTTTACGTGGCATTTCATTTTCAACTCTGTGGTAATTGTAAAGAGAAATCAGTTGGAGGTCGTGATACAAGTCATCCCTGTAGGTAATATTTTTCGCGGTGGCGTACCTTTATCATGGCGACAAGTGGGTAAACCTGCGTGTGAAAAGTAACGTGTACCCCAAACTTCGGCCGAGGACTAAACGAACGTAGTATTTGTGGTACAGTGCTTTGTTTACGTCGTGGAACCTGCTGCAAGCAGCTCGCCCTCTTTGAACACCCTGTGCCCGGCAGCGGTCCAGCAGCGGGATGCTGTGCGGCCGTTGCAGCGAGATGCACCGACCAGCATGCGGGCGGGAGGCAGGGAGGAGGGAGGAGGGAGGGAATGGAGGAGTGAGGAAGGGACGAGTGAGGAGGAGCGAGAAGTGAGAGGGAGGGGAGAGCGGTGCGGTCGAGAGGTGAAAAATGGGCTGCTTATCAGACACCGGGATGCTGCACGGATGATCCTCGGCTCCTTGGTCTTCCCGGGGTCGCGCGGGTCCGGTCAATAGACAATTCAATTTACACAAAAAGTACTTGTGGAACATTTTTCACGAACTTTATCTCTCTAAAATATGCGAGTTGTATCCTTAAAAGTTTCATTAAATATTATCCACCAACTTTTGGGGGAATATTTCAATTTTTCCGGAAATATTTCGGACTTTCGAAAACCCGAGTCTGGTTCAGCCCACACAGCCCGCGCGCGCAGCATCCTTGTCGTCCAGAGTGTTCCATCAGGTCCTTGGGCGCGTCGCGCAGGCTCCATAGGGCGGATGCAGCGAGGAGGCGAAAGGGGAGGAGAGGAGGGGGCAGAGAGCGTCCGGCCAGAGCCGGCCCGTGGGGCACAACACCACAAAAACGAACTCAACGAGAGTCGGCCGCCGTGCTCCTCCCTCTCTCTCCACTCTCCTCTCTTTTTCCTGCCCAGCGCGGCGACGCCACGCTACCGAGTACCCCCCGGCCGAGATGCTACAAAAGGGTACCCGCTGCACAAAGAGCTTCCACGGACAGCCGCACAGTCAAAAATCGTCATTCTCGGAATTACGTTCAAAATGTTGTCATGAGGATTTCTCGAAACATTTTACCACGCCCGAAAAACTGCTATGTTCATGGACGAAGTACATAACACTTGATCATTGATGTTTTTTCAGTCACAGAGGTCTTGTTTCAAGTGATACGTACTTGGATAATCAAGGATCAAGAACAATGTATACTTGGTTCAAGAACTCAGTCGTGCTGAGCAGGCAACCAGCCCACACGTAGGAATGCAGTACAGCAGCAGAACTTACACAAGTGCGCGTGGTTCATCAGCCACCTCGCACGACAAAATGAAAAGCTGCGGACTATATTTCAAAGGCGCGAGCAAACGAGAGATCGAGAGCAAAAGCGAGTTATCGAGAGCAGAGAGAGAGAGAGAGAGAGAGAGGGCGAGAGAGGGGGAGCGGGAGAGAGAGGGAGGGCGAAGGAAAAAGATGATCGCGCCCAGAGGGCAAAAAAAAAACTGGTTTACATACTACAATGCCTCCGCTGATTGGAGTCTACTGGCTCTTCGCATCCATTACATGCCGCCCGTGTGTCTGTGCGACATCATTACTATGCAGGGGGGGGGGGGGGGGGGGAGCGAACTAAGGGGTGGCGTCCACGGCGAGTCTGGAAGAGGTTTAGGGGTTTTCAGGTTTTGTGCCGTCAGTTTGCGGCGCCGGCTAGTGGAGTTGTCGGATTTTCTTACTTTTATATATCTCTCTCTCTCCCCCTCCCTCCCTGTGTGTCAGAAAATTATAATTCAAAATTGTAAGTTTACAAGCACTTTGTGCGAGGGGGTATTCACTCCCGTAATACCCTGTACACCTCAAGCTACTCAGGTATTACACGGTATTACGAGTAATGTAATACCGAGAAATTACAAAATATGCTATAAAAATAGCCGAAGTTTGCCTGTAATACCAGTGTAATACCCGGTAATACTATGTAATTCAGTGTAATACCGAGTACTATGTACAAGTTATTTCTGTTAGTGAATTCCCCCTCGCTTAGTGTCCACCTGGAATTGATCGACCTTCGACCAGCGAGAATGGACCGACCCAAATTTACTCACACACATTTCAAACTTTGGCGCGCGCGCTCGTTTTACTGGAGGCGGGAGCGTGAGCGCGCGCTGCTGCTGCTGCGGACAAAGAACCTCCATGCCCAGCCCACAGCGCGCGCTATGCGGCCTGGAGCCTAGCCTGGAGAAGCGAGCGGACGCGTTCCCGTAGAACTGGAGATCTCGCGCCAGGAGTGCAAGGGGACTCCACATGAGAAAATTTGCAGTGCCAATTTTTTCCCGTAAAAATCCGAAACTTTCCCAGAAAAAGTTGGGACTAATGAAATGTTTCCAGCAAAAAATTCAAAAAATAAAAAAAATTCGAGAACAGTTGGAAATTTAAAAAGAAATTCTAGATTTTTTCCCCAAAATACTCTTTTTAAAATTAAAATCTCTACTCCAGATGAACTCCTCCAGGCCGACTCCAGCCAATGGTGCATTGCCCGTCCATTCATTATTCATTCGTGTTCACGCTGCCTGTTCAAAGACACGCCACCTTCCAGGAGGGCCCCACGCGCTCAGGCGCTCAACCTGTTCAATGAGACACACCTTTCGGGACGTTTAGTCAGGTGTGCCGGCGCGCCCGCCACGCCACGCCCCGCACAGCTGAGCGGAGCTGGCATCAGAGCAGCGCCCGCCGGCCTCCGTGGGATGAATGAACTTCTCC